TATCATCTCCGAAGTCCCGCGGTACAGGCTACTTTCCTCCTGGGAGGTCATTTTCACCACAATAAGTTCAGGGACGACTTGCATAGCCTAAGATCCTACTCACACGCCGGGATGGGGCGTACACCAACGTCCAGCTTCTCATGTACGCTCCACCATGGGTTGCTACCCCACTTACGCTCCCGAGTAGACCTATCTGCCGAACGTTTGGCCAACAATTCCTTGCTGCTTTATACTCGCCTCTCTCCAATCGAAAACAGTGCATTGTGTGTGCCGCACATCTAGCTCCGCAGATTTTGGGTGGTTGGTCTGGTCGTTCAGCTTGCTCGACGTGAGTTATAAGCTTTGCTTTGATGGCTCTATGTTTTATTGATCCACTTCAAGCAACGAACACTCCCCCCCCCTCCACCGTCCGATCCACTTTGGATCTCACGCGGGAGCGATTTGGGGTATCTTAGCTCTAAGTCCTCCACCGCCCAACGGGGGACTTGAGTATTGTTTTAATGCCGCACCAATAGGCATTAACCTTAGGTAAGCTTGTGTTTACTTTGGACTGTACCCTCCTCATCCTCTGGGGGAGGTAGAGAGGGGNGGGGGGGGGGGGGGGGGGGGGGGGGGGGGGGGGGGGGGGGGGGGGGGGGGGGGGGGGGGGGGGGGGGGGGGGGGGGGGGGGGGGGGGATGGCCTCCATTTTTCAGGGGGGGTTCGGGTACTGGTTGGGGGTCAGGTCTATGTGTACTGCATTCTCGAATTGTCCCCTCGCCATAGCTACTGTGGATTTTCAGTATACAGCTATCCTCCTTCATCGCGTCTATGTGTCCGGCAATCTGCAATACAAATCAACCCGTGAGGTTTCAGTATGCAGCTTTCTTCACTCAATGCGTCTATGTATCCGGCAGTCGCAAACGTCACTCAACCCATGAGGTCTCAATATGCAGCTATCCTCACTCAAAGCGCCTATGTGTCCGGCACTATCCAACATCACTCTACTCGTTGAGGTTTCAGTATGTAGCTATCCCAACTCAGCGCGTCTATGTGTGTGGCAAACTCAAAAACTAATCCATCTGTGAGGTTTCAGTTTGCAGCTATCCTCACTCAACACGTCTAGGTGTCCGGCAATCTCCAATACAAATCACCTGTGAGATCTCAATATGTATATTTCTTCACTCAAAGCGTCTATGTGTCTGGCACTATCCAACATCACTCACCTGTGAGGTTTCAGTATGTAGCTATCCCCACTCAGCGCGTCTGTGTCTGGCAAAACTCAAAAACCAATCCATCTGTGAGGTTCCAGTTTGTAGCTGTCTTCACTCAACACGTCGACGTGTCCGGCAACCTCCAATGCAAATCACCTGTGAGGTTTCAGTATGTAGCTATCCCCACTCAGCGCGTCTGTGTCTGGCAAAACTCAAAAACCAATCCATCTGTGAGGTTCCAGTTTGTAGCTGTCTTCACTCAACACGTCGACGTGTCCGGCAACCTCCAATGCAAATCACCTGTGAGGTTTCAGTATGTGTCTTTCCTTACTCGAAGCGTCTATGTGTCCGGCACTACCCAACATCACTCAACTCGTGAGGGTTCAGTTTGTGGCCCTCCCCACTCAGCGCGTCTGTGCCTGGCAATCTCCAATGCAACTCACCTGTGAGGTTTCAGTATGTGTCTTTCCTTACTCGAAGCGTCTATGTGTCCGGCACTACCCAACATCACTCAACTCGTGAGGGTTCAGTTTGTGGCCCTCCCCACTCAGCGCGTCTGTGCCTGGCAATCTCCAATGCAACTCACCTGTGAGGTTTCAGTATGAATCTTCCCCCACACGAAGCGTCTATGTGTCCGGGACTACCCAACATCCCTCAACTCGTGAGATTTCATTTTGTGGCTGTCCACACGCAGCGCGTCTCGTGTCTGGCAAACTCAAAAATCAATCCATCTGTGAGGTGTTAGTATGCAGCTATCCTCCCTCAACACCTCTATGCGTCCGGCAATCTCCAATACAAATCACCTGTGAGATCTCAGCATGTATATTTCTTCACTCAAAGCGTCTATGTGTCCGGCACTACCCAATATCACTCACCTGGGAGGTTTCAGTATGTAGTTATCGCCACTCAGCACGTCTGTGTTTGGCAATCTCCAATGCAAATCACCTGTAAGGTTTCAGTATGTATATTTCCCACTCGAAGCGTCTATGTGTCCGGCACTACCCAACATCACTCAACTCGTGAGGTTTCAGTGTAGCTATCCCCACTCAGGGCGTGTGTGTTTGGCAATCTCCAATGCAAATCACCTGTAAGGTTTCAGTATGTATATTTCCCACTCGAAGCGTCTATGTGTCCGGCACTACCCAACATCACTCAACTCGTGAGGTTTCAGTGTAGCTATCCCCACTCAGGGCGTGTGTGTTTGGCAATCTCCAATGCAAATCACGTGTGAGGTTTCAGTATATATATTTCCTACTCGAAGCGTCCATGTGTCCGGCACTACCCAACATCACTCTACTCGTGAGGGTTCAGTTTGTGGCCCTCCAGGCTATCCCCACTCAGCGCGTCTACGTGTCTGGCGATCTCAAAAACCAATCCATCTGTGAGCTTTCAGCCTGCAGCTGTATTCACTCAACACGTTTACGTGTCCGGCAATCACCAATGCAAATCACCTGTGAGGTTTCAGTATGTATATTTCCTACTCAAAGCCTCTATGTGTCCGGCACTACCCAACATCACTCAACTCGTGAGGTTTCAGCATGTGGCTTTTCCCACTCGGCGCGTCTTCGTGTCTGGCAAACTCAAAAACCAATCCATCTGTGAGGTTTGAGTCTGCAGCTGTATTCACTCAACACGTTTACGTGTCCGGCAATCACCAATGCAAATCACCTGTGAGGTTTCAGTATGTATATTTCCTACTCAAAGCGTCTATGTGTCCGGCACTACCCAACATCACTCAACTCGTGAGGTTTCAGCATGTGGCTTTTCCCACTCG